AATCCACTAGGAATATTCCTCTCTCTCGATCATCACTAGTTATTATTTTTTTCAATAGCATTTTGTATCGTATCAAAGTTTTTCGGATAATCAATTTTTAAAAATTAGAAGGAAACCTGAAATAAGTAAATTATTATATTTTCAAGATGGAATTTTTTTTCAAAATATGGAAAACATTTGCTGAAAATATAAATAAAGAATACGTAATATTTCTTTTATTTTTTTAAAAAAGAAATGATAAATACAATTTTCACAAATCTTAGATTAAAAAAGTATCTATTTTTAAATTATTCAAAAACTTTCGAGTGATCAAAATTTTATATAATTCATTGAAAAAGAAAAGGCATCATCTTCTCATTTATAATTCTATAACATTACCTTTTTTATCCAATAATAATACTGGTATTTGCAATATTCGAGTGGTACTCGTCTCACGTCCACCAACCACCAGAGAAGACGTTTCTTTTGATTTATTTATTTTTTTTTTCTTTTCCACCACGCGAAGTATCCTTATTTTTCCTTTTCTCCGGGAATAGTCAGCATTCCGAATGGCCCGTGCCAAGCGTGTCAGCCTAATGTATGTCCTGCATCGCGAGGGTGCGTTTGATTCATTTCGCCGAGGGGGTTGCTCGTCAGGCCGCATTCGCCACGCGTTTCAAGAGCCTTTTTTTCCAGCTCCCCGCGAAAATCCACCCCGAAAGACTTTACACGGGCGTCATAAGCCGGTGCACTTAATTTAAAGATCATCGACCGACGAAAAGTCGCCTCCCTCCCCTCCCTTCTCTCCTCCCTGATTTTACTCCCCTCTCCCCCGTTCCACCCGAATCTCATGGATTTCCGCGGCTACAAGCTTTACAGTCTGTGCATTCCGCTTTACAGTTCATTTCACTCTTGCTGCCGCTGGCCACCCCGTTTTTCCACCCTTGATTCTCTCCTCGGTAGCTCCTTTAATTTTTATTGTTCACCTCGATTCCCTTGCCGTGACCGCACATATGCTTCTAGCCTTTTCGTACGAATCTCTACTTTTTCAATCTGTCAATCTTTGATACGATTGATCGATCAGTTTCATCAATTTAATTCTGTTAATAATTATACTCATTGGTTAAAATATCTTATTTATAGCTTATTAATAAATTTCTCTTTAGAAACTTTTACTTTGTATAAATCTAAAAATATAGATATTTGTTTAAATAAAAAGGATACAAGAAAATGATAAGAAAAAAAAAACTTTTCAGTTTCAAAATGTTACCAAAGAGAGTCATAACTTTATGATAAATACTCAATGAAGAGAATAATCAATCGAATAAAAACATAAATAGTATCTCGTTAAGCGAGATATAAAAAAATTTTTCACTCCAACTTTGTTCAAGGCTATGATTCGAAAAAAAAAAAAAATATTCATCGAACTTTGACGATTGCAAGCCACGTTTTAATTTATCCCGTTCTACTTCACCCCTCTGATTAATGCCTGGACGTCACCGGTCATCGAGATCGCGTCCGATCGCCGATAGGCCGGCGA